TGCTAGACTAGATCTATGTAAAATACATTAATAATCATTTTATAAATCAATAAAATCATAATACTCTACTGATATAGATCTAGTATAATCTACTTACTGGAGTTGAACTACTAAAATCCATTCCTGGTAAGAGCAAACAAGAGAAAGTGAGATGCTGCGTCTTTTAGGTATGATTAAAATCTTGTAAAAAATATTTCTAATTAATAATTAGAAATAACTAAATAACCACTAGGCTAATTAATAAAATGGAGTTTATCAGGATTTTCTTTCTCTTTTCTTTCTTCACACTGACACTCTCTCAATCCTCCATATATGATGAAATGTTCCATCCGGCAGATGAGTACAGTTTCCCTCAGTTACCTGGTTATGATTATCATGAATTAGGACCTTATATTGACCAGAGGACACTCACTGTACATCATAAGAAACACCATCAGGGATACACTGTTAAGATGAATCAGGCACTGAAGGATTGGAGGAAACAAGTATGTTCATTAATTATGATTTACTGACATGTTTATGTAAATTTGGGTGGTTAAAATTTAATTACTTGACTCTGCAATTCATAATGATTTTTTGTGATATATATATACATCTCCTTATGTTAGGTAGAAAATTTGAGCTAATTCCGATCAAAATTGAATTTTTCATCAATTTTTTTTTAAATTTGTCCAAAAATCAGATCAAAATCCCTGTACTATAAAGAATAGGGACCTGCGCATACCTTATTGGAGTAGAATGGTGTAAGAATTAGCCTTCTATCACCAGCCAAGGTCGAGATATCGACCGACAACTGGATTGACAGGACTAACATGATGATGATGATGAAGATGAAAAAAGATGGCTGAACAAAACGGCCGTTTTCCGGATTTTTGACTTTCCTCTTAGACAAAGTCTAGAGCCACGCTAGTGGTATCAATGGAGTCCTCTGGTCAAGATAAGGTCCTCTATAAAGTCTGGTAAGCATAGGAGCTCTTTTCCCAGTATAGGAAGGCTGCAAAAGTCATGGCAGCCATTTTGTTTGGAGGTGAATCCTACTTAGTAACGCTACCGCGTTACTAATAGACCAGTTGGTGCTAAGTATATTCATAGAACTTTAAGTACCGGTATATTCATAGTGACACCGTAAATAAAGTAAAAATTTTCCTGCTGCCATTTTGAAGTCCTAGTTCCAATGGTTGTCTATGGAGCGATTGTGAAAAGAGCTTATTCTCCAAAAGCTGCTGTATTTATTTATGACAGCAATCTCGCTACTGCTTACTGACCATCATCCAGTGTCTAGAGTTGGCTCATGGACTTTAATAAGTGCCACTAGGACCTATAGAAGTAAAGATATTGCTTTCTCCCATTCTACTCTTAGTAACTAAGGCTCCAAAATGGCAGTAAGAAGATTTTACTTTTTTACGGTATCACGATGACTATACTAAAAAATTTATGAATATACTTAGTGCCAACTGATCTATAGTACAGGGTCACAGGCCAGATTTTCCAAAATTGACTAGGAGAGAATTCTCCATTTTTATTACATTTTCTGATGCATATCCATGTACATGTACTTATGTTGTGTAGAAAGTTTGAGCAAAATTAATTTCAGTCATAATTGGATTTTGTATGAATTTTCCAAGTTGCTCCAAAACCCATTATACTATTGTAGTGTTTGTGAACGATTTAACGTACTTACATGTAGCATTTTATTGTGGGGAACCCTGACTGTACCCAAACTTTGCATTCATAGTGTGTGCTACAATAAATCTGTTAATTTTTTTATATTTGTTTACCTTAATTATAGGAACCTCAAAATGATTTAGCAAGGTCTTCAATTATCAACATACTACAAAACCTTGAGAGGGTTCCTGATAAGTGGCGTACAACTCTTCAGAATAATGCTGGAGGGTATGTCAATCACATTTATTACTGGGTCACAATGTGTCCGAAACCTGGAGATATTCCTAAAGCTCTTTTGAAAAAGATTGAAGCTAGCTTCCCAGCTGGGATGTCAGAATTTAAGAACAGTTTTACCACTGCTAGTCTCTCTTTATTTGGATCAGGCTATGTATGGCTTGTGACAGATGATGAAGGAAGCATCAGTATAATCTCAACAAAAAACCAGGTACTGTATTGTCATGCATTTATTTTGATTATGTTGTACATGTACCATTATAAGCGTTTTTTGAGGGAATTATATTTCACAAGATGTACTAAATTTCTAATTTGGAGATTTTAATTTCACAAATTCTACCACGTGCCATATTTAATTGGTTATCACAGATTTTATTCTTGTGTATCAGAAAAAAATCCGTGAAATTTGCAACCCCCATAAAACCACTTATACGGTACCTCAATAGATAAGTGAAGCTTATGTATTTTAATTCAGACCAGCCTTACACCTGGCATGTACTCTAGTGTACAAATAAATGTATGTGTCTGTCATGTAATTTTAGAGATTAGATTTTGGTATTATGAGATACATGTAGTTTGCATTATGGGACACTGCCTATAATTTCAATGATTTATTTTTAAAAGTTCAAACTGGTGCATCTCTATACTCTAAGCAGTAGCTTTATTTTTAAGATTTTGGTCATTTTTATAAATTCAGAGCTGAAATGATAGTTGGAAATTGGACATTTTAAAACCAGTTTGCTCAATTGTCTGACATTCTGTGTTGTTCTCCCATTTTAAAGTAATGAAAAGCAATTTTAGCATAATAACCAATTAATCATGTCCAACAGCACGGCTTCCCACAAAGCATGTTACACGTAATTAAGTGAGGACAATTAAACACTACAAAAAGTACATGGCATTTTGAGCAAATTTCAAAGTTCATAAAAAATCAAACTTGATTGGAATCAGCTCAAAGTTGATACAAAGCATGAAGGCATGTATACATGTATGTATCAGAAAAGATTATAAAAATTAAAAAAATCCTCTCCTTGCCATTTTGTAAGAAATTTGGTCGTCAGCACAATTTTTGAGCAAATTTAAAAATTCATAAAAAATCCAAACTTGATCGGAATCAGCTTAAAGTTGTTACACAACATAAGAACATGTACAATGTTTGTCTATTGAAAAATTATAAAAATTAAAAATTCTTTTTGTGATTTTTGTTGAAATACCCTATACTATGCATGTAAGTGTAGTTGGCCAAATTTTTGAGCAACTTGACAGTCCACTGACAACAAACTAGATGAGTACTGTGGGAAACCCTGTCCAACAATTTTCATAAAATGGCAGATCAAATTTCTGTTCAGACACCATGTTTTAACATTG